TATTTACAAGCTCTCCATCTGGGTTCTTCTGACGTCTTTAGTTTGTTATTTACAAGCTCTCCATCTGGTTCTGTTAACGTCATGAGTTTGTTATTTATAACCTCTCCATCTGGGTTCTGCTGACGTGTTGAGTTTGGTGTTACTTATAAGTTCTCCATCTGAGTTCTGCTGACGTTTTGAGCTTGGTGCTACTTACAAGTTCTCCATCTGGGTTCTGCTGACGTCTTGAGTTTGTTATTTACAAGCTCTCCATCTGGGTTCTTCTGACGTCTTGAGTTTGTTATTTACAAGCTCTCCATCTGGTTCTGTTAACGTCATGAGTTTGTTATTTATAACCTCTCCATCTGGGTTCTGCTGACGTCTTGAGTTTGATGTTACTTACAAGTTCTCCATCTGGGTTCTGCTGACGTCTTGTTTCGTGTTACTTATGTGTATTGTTTAATAAACAAGTAAAGAAACGTCTGTGTGTTGCTTGAACTTACCGTACAAACGTTAACCTAATGTTAACTCAATTGTTTTGATCCATAACCACAGGGACAGATCTAAGGCTGTAGCGTTAGCCTAATGTGTCTATATTTTTACTCAATTGTTTTCATCTATAACCACGGTGACAGATCTAAGGCAGTAGCGTTAACCTAATGTGTCTATATTTGTACTCAATTGTTTTGATCTATAACCGCGGTGATAGATCTAAGGCAATAGCGTTAACCTAATGTGTCTATATTTGTACTCAATTGTTTTGATCTATAACCACGGGGACAGATCTGAGGCAGTAGCGTTAACCTAATGTGTCTATATTTTTACTCAATTGTTTTGATCTATAACCACGGTGGCAGATCTAAGGCAGTAGCGTTAACCTAATGTGTCTATATTTTTACTCAATTGTTTTGATCTATAACCACGGGGACAGATCTAAGGCAGTAGTGTTAACCTAATGTGTCTATATTTTTACTCAATTGTTTTGATCCATAACCACGGTGACAGATCAAAGGCAGTAGCGTTAACCTAATGTGTCAATATTTTACTCAATTGTTTGATCTATAACCACGGTGGCAGATCAAAGGCAGTAGCGTTAACCTAATGTGTCTATATTTTTACTCAATTGTTTTGATCTATAACCACGGGAACAGATCTAAGGCAGTAGCGTTAACCTAATGTGTCTATATTTTTACTCAGTTGTTTTGATCCATAACCACGGGGACAGATCTGAGGCAGTAGCGTTAACCTAATGTGTCTATATTTTTACTCAATTGTTTTGATCTATAACCACGGGAACAGATCTAAGGCAGTAGCGTTAACCTAATGTGTCTATATTTTTACTCAGTTGTTTTGATCCATAACCACGGGGACAGATCTGAGGCAGTAGCGTTAACCTAATGTGTCTATATTTTTACTCAATTGTTTTGATCTATAACCACGGGAACAGATCTAAGGCAGTAGCGTTAACCTAATGTGTCTATATTTTTACTCAGTTGTTTGATTTATAACCAAGGGGACAGATTTGAGGCAGTA